TGCTTAGAAATGTATCTTCACTGCTTTGTTATAGATAATCTATACTCATGGCTTTCTTTTTTACCATGGGCTGAGTTCTCTTATAACACTGCATTCCACTCAGCTATCGGGATGCCACCTTTTAAGGTGTTATATGGCCGCAACCCTCCTTCTATCTTGCGTGTCAAACTAGCTGATGGTACCCTTTGGGTTGTCCAATACCATCTCACTCTCTGTGATCACCTATTAGAACAATTGAAACAGAACCTTCACTAGGCTCAGGACTGTATGAAATTACAAGCGGACTCTCGTCGAGCTGTTGGGGATTTAGTCTGGGTGAAACTTCAACCCTACAAGCAACACTCATTGAAGTTGCAGTTGGTTTGGGCCCTTTCCTATTTCTCAGCGTATTGGCCCAATGGCATATCGTCTAGACTCGCCTCTTTCCTCTCGCATTCACCCAGTATTCCACATTTCGTTACTCAAGAAATTCGAGGGTTCTTTGTCTACCACACCCGTCACCATTCCTTTTGCTCTAGCTGATCAGGGTCTTATTATCTCACCAACTGATGTTAAGGATGTTCGTCATGTCAAGCTTCGAGGCACTTGGGTTACCCAATTACTAATTTAATGGCATGGCCGCGATGAGTTCACATGGGAGCCTTTGGATTTGATTCTCAAAGACTACCCAGCCTTTGACCTTGGGGACAAGGTCACTTTTGATGGGGACGGAAATGTTACATTAGTAACCCAACCCAATATGAATATTGGATCTACCTCAAAGTCCGAGCTCAATCAACCTATTGATGTCAGGCATAGCTCGAGGCAGAGAAAAGTCACGTGGAAGTTGTGTGAACACCTTACTACTTAAGTCAGGGAAATACATGAGAGGAAGGGCATGCATGAAGAATCACGTGGAATCTCTCTCTGACATCTTCTATCATTCTCTCTGCTTTCTATTATTTTGCTGTTATCCTTTCTGTTACTCAATCATTTCCTTTTGCTGTTCGTTGGTTCATGGTTGATTAATAATATAGCTGCCTTGAGAGTTTTCTATCAAATCCTTGTAATCGTATCAGTGTGTCTTAGTACTTTGGATCAATTTCTACAAATTCACTTTAAATGATTTGGTAATAAGGATAGCAAAAAATTTGTTACACTATGATATTTATGAGATTGGTGTTTTTTTCCAGGGAATTTCCACTTCTGATGGACATGGTTTGAACAGCTTTCATGCACTAATTAATTAACATTCCATGCCTTGTGTTTATTAATTTATTCAAGCTTTTTTTTTTGTCTCAAATATTTCTTATCCTTGATATATTATTCCTCCTTCTGCTTCTAATATAATATTCTTTTAAATAAATGATATTGTTCATAGATCAATGACTTGCTGATGAGTATCTCAAAATGTATTAATTTGCTGTATTAATCAATGACTTGCTGTAATAATGTGCAAAATGTAGATACATAAGGTGGCAACAACTATGAGTATAACAAGATTTAAAGACATTTAACTCGCACACAATTTGATAAACACAGGTTATATCAGCTGCTAATCTTTTTTTTTTTTTTTGGCTGGTATTTTTATGACCTCAATTAACTTCAATTGTGATTGTATATATCAGCTGCCATGCTTCAAGAAACTGATGCGACGACATGTTACTATAGGCTGGAAAAAGGACAAGTGGTGAAGATCATTCACATTGTTGGGCGCGTTATTCCTTTGTAATACTTATCGTTGTGTAACTTAATATTTTTATTTGCATTTATGCTATCTGGGGCAACAGTGAGAACCAGATTTAGGAGAAATTTGAACAAAATAGGTATTATTATTTGCTAATTAAGATCTGGTTTAAAAATACATTCTTCATATGGAATGATCCTTGTCATCACCGAGCAATTTGTTTAGTTGTCCATAATTTTAACAATATTAATCTATCATCTCATTTTATTTATAAGTCACTTCTAACTATATTAGTATAATTAAAAAATTAAATAAGAAATTGTGTTTATTTTCTATTATTAAATTTATCATATTTAACATACATTTTCTCTTAAATGCAATATTTTACAATATTTATAGAAAATTGTAAAAGGTAGAATTAAAAGAAAGTGATTAATATTTCATATTTTTATATAAAATTAATTATAAAGTGACTATTAATTTTTTTAAAAAGGATAACTTATATATATTATTCAAAGAATAGATGTTATATATAGCCGAGCTCCATGGGCTAAACAATATTATACTTGTTGTTAATATGTGTGAGGCATGTGAATATTTTTGTAACTTGAGTAAAAAGACAATTACATCCTTGGAGGTTCTAAATAGGGGTGTTCATAGTCCATAATTTGCTTTTTTGTTGATTAATTATTGAAGCAGATATTGACACTTGTTCCTTTTCAATTTCATGCATAAAATTCAGTTGTTTTCCGATGTAACAGTTTATGTTTAAGTTTCTGTAGAAATGAAAACAACCAAGATTTTCAAATTTAAAATTATATTTGATGTGTCAAAAAACTTTCTAAGGTGAATGAAAGAATATGGGAAAATCTTTTAAATGATACAGCACTCAAAACTATTAGTTTGATTAATAATAAACAAATCATTTCAAATTGAGTCTTTACGTGCATGCAAATTTAATTTGGATGTCCTGAATCCCAATGTTAGTTCAAGCAAAATGAACAAATCATTTTTAATTAATTATCTAATAGGAATAAAAAAAACTAATAAAACAATCCATTTTGCACATCAAATAATGAAAAGACAGTTAAAATTATCTTAATGTACATATTAAAATAAAAGATGTGAAGTACAACATATAAAAGCATATTAAGAAAAATTAATTGATAAAATAATAATTTTTATTTATTTAATTTTCTAATAAAAAAATTAAAGAAGCATTAAAAAAAAAAAGCTAACCTTACTTTGGAGAAGCTAAGGAAGGAATAAGCTTTTAGTGAATTATATTTTTCAGTAAACAAAACAAATGACTAATAAATACATAATAGAGCAATAAGCTGCAAAAAACTAGCACTTTTTGTTCTGAATTCATTCACAAGTTGTTTAGTTCTAATTTTAAAATGACCAACATTCATACATTGCAGCTGGAACTTTTAGAAGACAAAGTTCTTATAACAATTTACAATCTCTTAAGTTCTCACTATAAGAATTTTTCATCTATGTCTCTTAATCCTTCAAGGTCAGTTCTCTAACATCACAATGTTCAGTTTCTCAACATCAGTACAAGTAGCAAGAACCAGAAAGCCAGGCCAGGATCACAAAATTTGCTATGAATTTGATCTCTTATATGGCAATATTGTTCTTGAAGTTTCCATTTCCTAGCAACTTGAAAATTAGCAATTCAATATGAAAAGTTTAGTGCAACCATATAACTCAAAAGCTAGCAATGAAAAAATTTTCAGTTCAATTACATTACATAATTTTAAGTTTTTAACCGAGTCTTTGAAATATTATTTTGGCCAATTTATGTATTTAAATTTTAAAAAATATTACTAAAAAAATATGCTTGTATAGGTAAAAAGTTTAAAATATAAATAAAAGGTAAATATATGTGCTTTAATTTTTTTGGTAATTTAAATAATTTTTAGATAATATTTATATTTAAAGAAGGAATATTTTGGTCCAACATATATAATTTAACCGCCAACGAACATTTGGGTGGATGGAAATAAAATATTAAAAATAAAAAGGATGTATATGTAATTAAAGTAAAATAGATGGAAAGTCAAAATATTTTCCTATAAATATAAACTATTTATGTAGCAAACTCTAATTCTTTATATCATATTACTATTCTCACTTTGTTTATGCAAAATTGATTTTGATGTCTTGATCAAAATGCATTGGAGTTGGACTTAAATTTCTTTAAATATTGGAATTGTTTGGCTATAATTTAGTAATTATGCAAAATTCTCCCATTAAATAGAGTTAACTACAAAATTTATACAATCAATTATATCATTCACTAATAATCAAATTTTTTTTATTATCTACTTTTTATATCCTCACCCCCGTTTTTCTTTTGTAATTTCCATCTCTTGGCTTCTCGCCCTTTTCTTTTCTTTCCTAATCCATGTTCCTCTAGAGGGATGACAGATCCCGAATGATAATTATGGCGGGCAAAATTTTAAATAAGGTGAAATATGAGGGATAATCAGAATTAATTTTAGCAATTTTTATAAAGAAAAAATAAATAACTTGCCGCCACTCCAACAGAAAAGGTGCATGAGGACATAGGAAGTTTTTCTGTGGCGATGGATCATGATGATTCAATTTTTAAGCATGAATGAAAATTTTCTACTGAGGCAGAAAAAAGTTCTAATCCTCATATCTTAAACCAAATCATGTAGCAACATCTCCTATCATATACTCCCTCCAGACTACAACATAAATTATAATTAATTAATTTACAATTAAAGTTAGTTGAAACTTTAAGTTCTTAAAAATGCCCATACCTTTTTATTTATACTCTTATTAAATACTCTATATAAAATTCTTGATAATAGCAATTAAAATTTCAAAGCATGATTTTTTTCCAAAAAAAAAGTAATAAATAATATAGGGATATAGTTAAAATAAATAAATATAATTTTTTTAATGCCCTGTATTTTCCAATGCCCTGTATTTTACTTTGATAGTCTGCTTTTAATTTCCAAAAAATGAAAAGGAATACATGTGCCCGCCACACACATCTACATACGTAAGTATACACAAGCATATGTGTATAGCTTTCTTGATCCATTTACTATCAAACATTGGGCTCTGTATTTAGATATTCTTGAAAAATTAAGATAAATGTACTATGGTATTATATTTATGATAAATCAAAAGGAAATTCGTTTAGTTATATCAGCATATGACAAATCAGATTCATATGGAATGGTTGTTCAAACCAAACAAATTGGTTAGCTGCAGCAACCTCAACACAACCTTGGCTCTACATTACATAAATACAGAGAGAGAGAGAGAGAGAGAGAGAGAGAGAGAGCAAAAGGAAAAGAAATAAAGGGGATAAACAAAAGGCATTTGAAGGAACATATGAATTCGGTTACCACATGGAGAGTTGCAATCTCTAAATGACCAATATATACAGTAATATATTAGCTCATAATTTGAAATACCCTTTGAATAGGTCTCTCTGGACCAACTAGCGTACATTGAATAGAAACAAAACAATTTACAAGCTCAACAACAAAGGACCGACCACTAAATTTAATTTGTTGACAATTGTAGCATGGAACATGATTCTTCCCTAACTATGAATATGATCTCTTGCATTGTTCATCAGAGGAATGGATCATTCAGCACAACACTGTAGAACTGAAAGGAAAGGATTATAAATTCAGTTTTGTCAAATCGCATAATTGGGCTTCTTGTTTGTGGAATAGACTGTCACATGAAGAATTGAATACTCACCCTTGACTAAATGAAGTTAGCTATTGGGATTTGCCACAAAGCCTTTTTTTTTTTTTTTTACCCATCATTTTTTGTTGTTGTTTTAATAGCTTTGACAGCATCTCTAGCATGCTTGCAAATTCAGAAAAATGTACATGAAATGGTTCAAACATTGGCACTACACTACTTCACTTATTCTGACAAATCAACAAGCTCCTCATGCTCCCAAAGACATCAAGATAAAAGCCTTCCACCCTTAAGAATCAAGCCATGAATGGCACTGGGCATTGTCATAATTGAAAATACAGCATGCTAGGCACCAAAGCATTCGGTTTCCACCGCTTGACTGAGATTATAACAACAAATTCAGACAAAATGAAAATGAATGAATCCCAAAGCATAGCAATCAATCTTGGCTTCACTAGATTTCTTGAGGAATAGTGAATAGTTATAAAATTAAAAAGGGCAGTGCTATATAAAAAGCCAGATTGCAATCTCATAAAGTACCTGCAACCAGCAAAGATTCCAGTTAATATGTCCAGAACCATATTCCCACCCTATCCAACCCCATTGTTCATCTGCACTTTTGACAACTTGCACAAGAATACCATCAAATGCTGTGGACGATGAAGACCAGAACTAGGAATAGCAGCACATGGGAAGATAAGGTTAGAAATGGTGGAGGCTTCAAGCATGTGGTTCCGTGGACAAGATTTGTTGTGAGGATGTGATCATCACAAATTTGCTTCACATACATTGAAACTCATGATAATCCAAAGACATGATCTTTCCTTAGCATTTCTGCATATGGATAAAGAGATAAAAGCATGAGAAAGAATCATAATTATACTTTAGTTGGATTTTTGATGATTTAGTCATCATTTGGAGAGTCATTTATCATAAGAAAATTCGAAATGACTAATCCTCTATATTAGATTGTTATTTATCTTTATGAAATCATTCACAAAAATGAAACTGAATACATCAAGATAAAACCACCCATGATAGTGGTGACATTATTAGAATTGGGAACGTAATTAGTATGTGAGGCATCAAAATAATATCCAATAATTATCCCCACTAAACTTAGACTTTCACAGCAAATAATGCAGACATCATGAAATGAATGAATCTCAGAAGTCCAGCATTGAATTTTGGCATGATTACATTTCTCTAGGAATTATGAACAATAATAAAACTCTTAACAAAAGAGAGATTCAAATAGAAAAAAGTAATCACTTTAGTTTCATTTAACATTTTAGTGCAATACTATAGAGAATAACTTCATAGGCATATATCAGTTAAGCAGTTATCTGTTTCTCTTGGCACTGTTCTCGGACATTTATCAATGTTTAAGAAACAAAGTCACGGAAAGAGATAAAAGGACTGGGGGGTACTTGAATCATGGGAGACTAATTCAACCATTTGAATTTTCCCTCATGCTGTTAGTTTTTGGCAGTTGTTTCATTTGTTGCTACATTGATTGACAAGCTGGTACGTAGTTTTGTTCCAGAGTCAAATCCAGCTACAGATAAAGAATTAAAAAGTGAAACAGATGATTCAAAAAGGAGAAGTAGATGCAGGACAAAGTAAGCTCAGGCGTTTAATGTCAGCAATAAACAGAACAGAAGATTTCCCAACCTCCACAGAAAAAACATACCCGAGGCTAAAAGAGGAGAAAATTTTTCAGGTAATTGATCTCACATAAACTGATCTCACATAGAATCAATGCTGTGTGTTGGTCACTTCAATAAGACCAACCGAAGTCTAGTTGTACCTGCAACCAGGAAAACTTAAAGCCAATTAATTTATCAATTCACACATTTTCAACATCCAGTGCAAGGGAATATAAGAAAATCAACAAAAATTGCAGTTAATGTGTCCAAAAACATACTCCTATCCTTTCCAACAGGGGAAAAAAAGTAGAGTTGGAGAGTTTTACTGTCAAATTCTTAAAAAACCAAACAACTTCGAGGAATTCAAACCTCTAGAAAAAGAAACCAAAACATAGCAGAGCTTTATTTTCAGGAAAGGAGGACTCTTACAAAACAAAAATGAGCCAAAGCAGAGTAAGAACATCCACACCCCTCTGATGGAAAATGATAGGTCCTCCTTACTTCCTTGCATGTTAAAGAGCCAAACAAGAACCAAACTAAAATATCCATAGAAAATTAAAAGCACCATTGTTCATCTGCACTTTTGATAACTTCCTCAAAGAATACCGTCAACTGCCAAGAATGAAGACTACCACTAGCATAGTGGAAGCTTCAAGCAAGTGGTTCTATGGACAATTCGTAGATTTGGTTTACATATATACATGAGACTCAAGATAGTCCAAAGACATGGTCTTCGGCTTAGCATTTCTGCACATGGAATAGATTTCATGAGGAATAGTAAACAGTCATAAAACTCGCAAGTCTTGATAAGAAAGAGTCAAATTGAACAATGGAATCAATTAGTTTCATAAAATACTATTGCGAATAACTTCATAGGTATAAATTGGTTAATGGTTATCCTTTTCTTTGAAATGTTATTGGACAAATATCAATCGTAAAGAAACAAAGCAACAGAGGTAAATAAAGGACAATAGGTACCATTGATCGTTTGCAACTAATCCATAAATTTCATGTGTGCCATTGGTTTTCGCCAGTTGTTCACTTGTTGCAGCTTTCATGGACAAGATTGGCAAATTTATTTCAGATTCAAATCCAACTACAAATAAAAAATTGAAAAGTGAATAGAAGATACAAAAGGAGAAGTAGATGCAGGACAAAGTAAGCTTCAGGTGCTTAGAGTCAGTTACAAATAATTCAAAAGATTTGTCAACTTCTATTGAAGAAAGAAACCATGAGATAAAAGAAGAGTATAGAAAGAAACATTAACACAAATAGAAAGCTTTTCAAAGGTGATCAATTATGATTCAATTCTCAAGCATGCCTAAAACTGAATTTCAATATCTTCACAATTGTTTTCAGCAGAGTATTGTCTAAGAAGTTCTAATCCTCGTTTAGCAGACTTCTTTCCAAATAAACAAGATTCCCTATCTTAAACCAAATTCATACAACTGTCTCCCATCATATATTTTGATGTGGTTAGATTCAAAGTTTCCTATTATCTAACGATTGAAAGTAGAAAAGACTATAGATTTTTGACATTTTACTATCAAATTCATCAAAATAATAAGTAACCTTATCCTGGAATTCAAAACTCTAGAAAAAGAAACCAAACACAGCAGAACTTCAGTTTCAAGGAAGGTGATTCTTCCAGAACCACGATAAGAAGGAGTACAAACAAATGGAAAATGATGGATCCTCCTTTGTTCCTCTCAGTAGAAAATTAAGAGCAATATCACAACTAGGGTGGTGAATAGAATCTAACCCCATTGTTCATCTGCACTTTTGATAACTTTCTCATAGAACAATGCCGAGGAAGATGAAGACCACAACTAGGACTACCTGCACATGGGAAGATAAGGTCGGCTAGCGGAAGCTTCAAGCATGTGGTTCTATGGACAAGATTTCATGCGAGGATGGGATATTCACAAATTTGCCTTTCGTACATTGAAACTCAGGATGGTCCACATCTATGGTATTGGGCTTAGCATTTCTGCACATGGAGAAAAATAAAAGCATGAGATAGAATCATAACTACACAGGCAAACATGTCTGTTTTGAAATTCAAATTATTGCTGGTGTGCATTAGGTGTTAGATAAAACAAAACTCATGTAAATTTTGCCACACAATCAGATGATGTGCATGAGTTTCTACGTAGCCGTGAGGGCATAATTACTGACATTTCTCGTGGTTGTAGAATTATGAACACTCAATGAATGAATGAATGATGAAAAAGTTAAGGCGCTAACTTTTAAAATTCTTGAGCTTGTTGTTAAGGCAAGAAAAACGGTTATAGATTTATGAAACTTTTCATGATGATCATATTATTAGGATTTTCACGTCCAAAAAGAGCCTACAAAAGTGGATCCTAAAAGGGTAAAACATATCCTTGGAAACTACCAACAATGTAAGAGTAGTATCATTAGCGAAATCACATGTTGCCTACTGGAAAAGCACCATGAGATGCTGAGGAAACTCAGGATAGTCCAAAGACTTGATAATTGGCTAAGCATTCCTACACAAGTAACAACAATGAGCTTTTAAGTAAATGGAGATAGCATCATAATTAAACATGTACACAGAGCTTTAATCTTGCTGTAAAATCAGATACTCCTTCCCATCCTCAATGAAAGAGCTAGATAACTAATTCACATAGATTGAGGAAATTAATTAAGTTGGTTAGTTGTAAAGATTGTATGTTGATTTTCCTAAAATAACCCTTCCTTTTAATCATTTACTACCTCTATTAAAAAAATATAAGGCATTTATTTTGAGGTTAGATATTAAAAAATATAAGGCTTTTTTTAATTTTCAATGTATAGTTAATGAGTTTTTGTTAAAAAAATCGTAATAAAAAAATCAGTCAACCCTTCAACTATCTTAAAGTCAGCTAGAGAAATTTTAAAGTAACGAATTTTTTTTCCCAAAAGTAATAATTATTTACATGAAATTATTTGATATAAATAAGAAAAGTTTTCAAATATGATTATTATTGTCAAAATACAATCTGAACACATGCAACTTAAAATGATCTAATTTCGTTTACCAAAAATAAAATAAAATAAAATCATCTAATTTCAAAGTTTGGTTGAACAAGTGGCAATGATTAGAAGATGTCGTCATTTATTAATGATTCGTACACGCTCACGTTTTTCTGCAATAATTTTGCTGCTCACAAATACTTTTAACAGTTGCACATCATTTTTAATTTTATGAAAGATAGAGAGAGTGAAAAAAATAAATTAAATCCAAGAAACGCAATGATATTAAAGTACTAACCTAATTAAGAAAGAATATTAGGGACGAAACTCTACATATGCATCATAACTCCCAGGTGAATGAATGAATGAACTGTCAACAAGAGACGAAAGAAAGGTAAAATATTAAAAGTTAAAATTACAATATTGGTTCAGCCACGGAAGAAACAATATTTTATTGTAAAGGGATTCAATAGTGCAAGGCTTCTTATTTATGGGTAGGGGCGTACTCCAACTCCAACAAATGCCAATTTTTGTTTTTTTAATTATATTCATTTTCATGGTATTATTTTTGTTGAGAATTATCATGAACTATAATATTTTCATGATTTTTTAGACATTTCTTGTCATTACAATTTTTTAATCCCTTTAAAAATTCAAAATTTATTTTTAACTTAATATCATGAAAAAATAATTGATACTCCCTCCGTTAAAAAATGCAAGGCATTTTTTGACGGGTTGAATGTTTAAAAATGTAAAACTATTAAAAGTATTGGAATAAGATTCGGTTAAAAATGCCTTACATTTTTTAACGGAGGGAATAGTTATTTATCATATGCAATTTTTTTAAAAAAATACTTTTCATTCTAATATTAATTTTATAAAGAATATATATAATTACATTTTTTTAAATAATTCTTTTAATATATTTTTCAAAAAATAAGTTTCAACTTAATAAACAACAAAAAAAAAGAAAAAAAGTAAACGGACGAAACCAAACAACTCATTTAAAGTCCCAAAAAAAAAACTCTATAATTGTTAATCCAAGGATTAAAACTAGGAGACTGGGTGCTTATTGAGTTTCAAATTCCCATGTAAAAAAAATAATTACAATGACAATTTCGTGGATTTTGAGTAGACTACAAAATATGTTGCCTTTACTTTTAGTTTGTTTTTTAAAAAAAGTGAATGTCAAAACAATGGAAGGTAAAAAACATACCTGTAAGGGAATGCAGTTCCATCTAATCCATATACACCTCTGGAATGTGAGAAATTTTATGCCAGCCTGGTCCATCCACTTTTTGTTGGTACCGCTGCTTTAGTAATGGACTATTTCCTCCAATATGTATTGAAGAAAGGGAGTCGGGTAAACCTTCCTCTGGAAAAGAATGGAGATTTGGGCAATCCCAAATCTCTAAGGATCGAAGAGATGTGAGGGAGAGAAGGCCATTGTTGTTTATTTTTGTCAAATTTGAACATCCATTGAGAAAAAGAGATGTTAGATTGGGCGGCAAATGTTGCTCTTCTAAGAAAGACGCGGCATCTTCAAAATCATGACCACCCACGGATAACTCTTGTAGAGAATGAAGCTTGTGCAAGCCCCAGCTCATACGACAAGCTATGAGTTTCGGACAACTTTTTATTGAAATCCTGACAAGGCTTGAAGGAAAACCTCTTTGAGGAACCAATTGTAGCTGTGGACATCTCTTCAGCTCTAAAGAACGAAGACAGGGGAGCTGTGCATGCATGTCTTCAAGAAGTGACTTCAGATGGGTCATGCCAGAAAGGGTGATATTTTCGAGTTTCGGATAAGAGGAATGTTTAATAGGGAATGATTCAAGTTCCAAGCCTTCACATCCTGTAATTAATAGATATCCCAAACATGGAAGGCGTAGAGGAAGGGATTTCCTTAATTTCGGACAGCTTTCTATAAACATGAGTTCAAGGCGAGGAAAACATTCACCTTCAAAATGCTTCCATTCTTCCAATTCCCCCATATCTTTAATTAGCAAATTTTCAAGGGATGGAAACGGAGCAATTGATAAATTCTCCCCGTAAAACTCTGACCCAATCTCCTTTATTCCTTCTAATTTAGAAATTCGAAGCATCTTTAGAGAGGGCAGCTGCCCAAGTGGTGGTAAACAAAAGCAATATTTACATGCCCTCAAGTCAACAGATACTAAATTAGGTAGATAAGGAGCATCCATCCAGTCCGCAAACCTTGTGCCACCATAGTTTTTAATAACAAGATGGTTCAAGTTGATATGAGGTTGAAGAGCCTCCAAAACGGACATTTCATTTTGTGAATCCACATTGTTTCCACTCCATCGCAAAGTTAAGTTTTTCAAGTGATTCTTCTCTTTCATATTGGCCACCTTGGCATCCATTGGATCGTTGATGTTATCCAACTCAAAAATCTCAAGCCTGCCTAACTCTCTAATATTGAATTTTCCTAACTCTCTAATATTGGGCCAGCTTTGCTTTCCCACACAGAATCTTGTCAATACTTGAAGATGTTCCATCCTTCCAATGTTTATTGACATCTCCCTTATGTTAGTCCCAACCAAATCAAGATGTCGAAGATTGATGAGATTGTGCAAATCTGCTGGCAATTCAGCCAAAGACCTACACCCTCCCAATTTCAACGATTGCAAACTGAGCACCTTACAAATTGAATCAGGTAACTTGCTGATCCCAGTACCTGAAAGGTCTAAATAATGCAAATTCATTAATTTGTACAAATCCTCGGGTAACTCAACAATTTCACGGCAGCAGATCAATTTCAAAGTTTGCAAATTATACACGGTGCCGATTGAATCGGGTAACTTTTTAATCCTACTACGAGAGAGGTCTAAATAACGAAGGTGCTTTAAATTCCTTATACCATCACTTAATTTAGTGATAGTTGAAACCAAATTCAAGCTCAAAACTCGCAGGTGCTTAAATCTTGAAAACATTTCAACCTCAACCTTACCACCAATAGGACCGTACATTTCTCGTGGTAGAGTAGCAAAACATCGTAACTGCTCACACTCATAAATAGGTTCCAATGATAATTCATCCTTTCTGACAAAAGTTGAGAATGAACAGTAGCGTATCCTTTCATTAATATTATTTTGCACCTTATCACCCTCCATCATCAAACAAAATCCTTCGGAGACTGATTTCGCTAAATCATTTATCAGGTCGTGCATGATTAATTTGTCATCATCAAATCTTGATTTCTCAACAAATGACCTTGATTCTAGTTCTTCCAAAATTTCATTCCCCAATTCCTCCACACTTTTATTTCCTTGGTTGCAACGTATCAAATCCTCTGCCATCCACATTTGGATTAGAGACTCCTTGTCAATTTCAAAGTCTTTAGGAAATATAGAACAGAACGCAAAACACCTCTTCAAATGAGAAGGAAGATAATGATAACTTAGCCGTAGAGCTGGCATTATATTACTCTTTGGTAACTGCCATATCTCACTCTCAAGAATTTCATTCCAATAGTTCTCTGAAAATTTTGTTTGCAAGAGGCTACCCAATGATTTTATGGCCAGAGGCAACCCGTCGCACTTTTCAATAATTTTTTTGCCAATTGCCTGTAGACTTGAACACAAGCTAGCATCGTTGTTTTTGAACGCATGTTCCTCAAATAACTTCCAACCATCTTCTTCATTCAGTAAAGCTATGCGATGCACTTCAACAGAGACCATGGCTGATGCTACCTTTTTATCACGTGTTGTAACAAGGATCTTACTTCCAGAAGCCCCAGAACGAAAAGGAACTTGTAATGATTCCAAATCGGATTTCTGGTCATTCCAGACATCGTCGAGAACCAGCAACAATTTCTTCCCCGTCAATTTCTCTTGCAGTTTCAATTGAAGCTGATTTAGATCTTCATGTTCTGTTATTGGACAGTCAAGTGCAGAAAGTATTGTTTTTGTAATTCGGAAAACATCAAATTCTTCGGAAACACACACCCAAGCTTTGAGCTGAAATTGATCCTTCATCCTCCGATCATTGTACACCAGTTGAGCAAGAGTGGTTTTCCCCGAACCACCCATACCCACTACAGAGATCACAGACAGTGGGCCCCTGCTCAGATCTTCATTAAGTAAAAGACGAATTATTTCTTCTTTATCACCATCTCTACCATATATGCGGGACTCATCAGCCACCAGAGATGTAGTTGGCAATCTAGAGGATACTTTCCCACCAACTCCAATCTCGCTACGACCACCAGAGATTTTCTTCAATCCCAGAGCATCCTTTTGTTCTTTAAGCAAATCCAGGTCGTGAAGCACTTCCTGGATTCTAGCTTCCATGCGTTTGTCAAATGAATTAACAAAACAAGTACAGAAGCGTCGTACCTTACTGGTAGCAGGTTGAGTCTTAGCTTCGATCTTTAACCTGATCGCCTTTGTAGCAATCTCATCTAAGAGGTCATCAGCCACATAAACAGTATGTTTGAGCTCCTGAAGCCACTCCTTGACATTAGAGCTTGTGTATTCCCTTGCTTCTGCATCATCAAGCACTTCATTCACAGAGATGAGGTTGATCTTGAGGTCGTGGAGCAATTGATCCACGAGCTTTCTTGACCCGAAGCAGTTGTTTGTGCTAGAAGTAGTACCCAGCCTATCAAAAACGACCTGAAGAAAAGCAGAGAGAAATGCTCCACCCACAACCTCAGCAGCCATTGTTTCTGGTATGCTTATCAGAGGAGATCAGTAGAAGAAATCAAGAAAGTTCTTTGGGAACGAGAGCGCAGAAGAGCGTAGTGTTGAATAATAATAGAGCTTATTTTCTTTCTTCGATGGGAATAATCTCAAAGCCGCGTGAAGGGATAATAAAGTTGGAAGCTTCAATTTAATTGGTTTGGTAGGTTTTCTTGTCGGCCAGTAACTGAAGCGAAGGGCAATAATGCAGGCTGCTTTAATTGCTTTTACTTAGTACTTTGCCAGTAGTCGGAATGTGAACACTGTGACCTTTTGGCTGTTTCATTCTAAATCTTTTTTCCCCCTCTCTGAATTGATAAATGACGTTAGCATCGTCGGAGGTTGGTTGCATGTTCATTGATAAGTTAAGAAAACCGCTGTGAATTTTTTTTTTTTAATACAAGACATCATTGCCCCTCTTCTGATTTCCTACAAGTTGTAATTAATATTATCTATATATTAATAATCACTTCTCAATATCCGCGAATGCTTTATTGTTACATGTGCAGTGTGTTTTAAATGATTTGTAATCAAGATAACTTTACTTTCTTTTGATTATTTTTTCAATTTATTTCCAGTTTTTTTAAAAAAAAAAAAACGTGGAGGCAGCCCCACTAAGGAGGAATTTTCATACGCACTTTGGAAGACTTGCTGCCATTGACTAAAAAGCAAGACTTTCATTTTGAAAAAATGAGTAAGAATACTAATGATAATTATACGTATTAAAATATTAAAATTTCAATAAAAAGATCATGAAAATTAAAAAAATATGAATATTCAGTTGAAAAACCAATTACAAGACAAATAAAAATAGTTGAAAATTCAGAGATTATAAAAACCTATCAATGAATGAATACGTTGTTAGATTGTCACAAATTTAAGAATCACGGTCAGACTACTAAGGTTAACGGTCAACAAAAATTTTTTGTCAATCGTTGGATTTTGAAAAATGCGTCACATTGCACGTTTAAATATTTTAAAATATCAATTACATTTCCAAAAAAATTTTAAGGGCAAATTTTATAGTTTATCCCTTAAAATTTAGAGATTAACATTTTAATAGTTAAAATAATGATAATTGAGTTAAACTTAAAAACTTAATGATAAATAATTAGTTTTTTATATGTTAATATTAAATGTTTTAATTAAAAAATATGATAAATATGATTGGAAAAGGCCAAGTTGAGGTGGCACCATTATCATGTGTAGTCAAAATTTTAAGGAAGACGTAATGTAGTAGTGTACCTAAATTTGAACCTTATTGCCTTTCAAGGTGACCCACGTGTTCTCTCTTGATCTACTAGTCTATTTCCCTGGACTGTGTTCGGGTTGAAGGAGGGGGTTTGGTTTTGTTGAAGGAAAAGGGGAAGGAGTTTTTAATAACATTTTATATTTAGTTCAAGAGGAAAGATGAGAGGAGGTTATAACCAAATTACTATTATATTCATATATATTATTTTTTTATGTTTATAACTTTTATCTTATATAAATTAATTTAGGGAAAAACCATTTTGTTGGCATCTATAATTTCTCTCAAAATTTAATTTGGTACCTCTACTTTTTTTTTTCTTTCTATTTCCTCCACTGAAGATGTTAGCCCTTCTGATTGGAAAATTGCCTGAAGGTGAACGGAGGAGAAGATGATGTTAAACTAGAAAGTCCAAAAAGGGGGAGGGTTCACGTGCGACTGGAGATAGGTGATTCGTGATCTTTGTTCATGCAACTAGGCAACCTACAATCACGAGATAGGCAACTCTATGCTCCCAAGTTTCAACAGGTTCTCTCTCATCCCCTCCGTTGTTTTCTTTCTGTCTTCATGCTCCCTTATTCACCTTCATTTCATCTTAGCTGACTAGATGCAAGCAGCCCAAAGTGAGACTGGGAATGTTCAATCTAGGGAAGTTGAATTGAGGGCTAAGATCCAAAAGGCAAAATAGAGCCCGGAGAAAGCCATGTCTCACTGCATCCAGTCATTGAAATAGGAGCTCTAGCACACTAAGAAAGAATTGTAGGAGATGAAGGGGAGAGAGTTAAGGTTACTGAAACAAGAGGGACGATCCAGATAATGAGAACCTTAAGTTCATTGCTAATGCAGTGATTATAAATCCAGATATTGAGAACCTTAAATTCAGAGATTATAAAACCTCATTGTTAATAAAAACCAAAGTATCCTGTTTCCACAACTTGACTGAGATTATAACAACAAATTCAGAGATAATGAAAATGAATGAATCCCAAAGAACAGCAATCAATCGTGCCTTCACTAGATTTCTTGAGGAATAATGAACAGTCATAAAATTAATAAAGGGTAGTGCTATATAAAAAGCCAGATTGCAATCTCAAAGTACCTGCAACCAGCAAAGATTGCAATTAATATGTCCAGAACCATATTCCCACCCTGTCCAACCCTATCGTTCATCTGCACTTTTTACAACTTTCACAAGAATACGATCAAATACTGTGGAACATGAAGACTAGAACTAGGAATAGCAGCACATGGGAAGTTGAGGTTGGAGATGGTTCAAGCATGTGGTTCTGTGGACAAGACTTGTTGTGAGGATGGGATCATCACAAATTTGCTTCACATATATTGAAGCTCATGATGGTCCAAAGACATGGTCTTTGCCTTAAGCATTTCTGCATGTGGATGAAAAATAAAAGCATGGGAAAGAATCGTAACTATACAGGCAAACATGACTTTTTTAAAATTCAAAATATTGCTGAGGTGCATAAGGTGTTATGAACACACAATGAAGGAATGATGTAAAAGCTAGGCAGTTACCTGATACAATTCTTGAGATATTTAAGGATAAAGACAAGTATAAGGGTTATAGATTCATGAAACTTTGCAGGATAATCACATTATTAAGATTTTCATCTCCAAACTTGAAAAATATTTTGTCCATCCTTAGAGACAATTTAGTGGATTTTTGATGATTTAGTCATCATCTGGAGAGTCATTTATGAGAAGAAAATTTGAAATGACTAATCTTCTATATTAAATTGTTATTCATTTACATGAAATTATTCACAAAAATAAAACTGAATACATCAAGGAAAACCCATCCATGATGGTGGTCACATCATTAGAATTGGAAACTTAATTAGTATGTTAGGCATTGAAATGATAGCCACTAATTATCCCCATTGAACTGAGACTTTGACAGCAAATAATGCAGACATCATGAAATGAATGAATCTCAGAAGTCCAGCATTGAATTTTGGCATGACTACATTTCTCTAGGAATTATAAACAAAAATAAAACTCTTAACAAAAGAAATATTCATATAGAAAAAAGTAATCAGTTTAAGTTTCATTCAACACTTTAGTGCAATCCTATAGAGAATAACTTCACAGACATATGTCAGTTAAGCAGTTATCTTTTTCTCTTGGCAATGTTCTCGAACATTTATCTATGTGTAAGAAACAAAGTCACAGAATGAGAGAAAAGGACTGTGGGGTACCTTTGATCATGGGAGACTAATTCAACCATTTGAATTTTCCCTCATGCCATTAGTTTTTGGCAGCTGTTTCATTTGTTGCTACATTGATTGACAAGCTTGGCACGTACTTTTGTTCCAGATTCAAATCCAACTACAGATAAAGAATTAAAAAGTGAAACAGATGATACAAAAAGGAGAAGTAGATGCAGGACAAAGTAATCTTAGGTGTTTAAGGTCAGCAATAAAAAGAACAAAAGATTTTCCAACTTCCACAGAAAAAAACATACCCAAGGCTAAAAGAGGAGAAATTTTTCAGGCAATTGATCATTCATTTGATCCATAACACATAAACTGATCTCACATAGAATCAATGCTGTGTGTTAGTCACTTCAATAAGACCAACCATAGTCTAGTTGTACCTGCAACCAGAAAAACTTCAAGCCAATTAATTTATCAATTCACACATTTTCAACAGCCAATGCAAGGGAATATAAGAAAATCAACAAAAATTACAATTAATGTGCCCAGAAACACACTCCTATCCTTTTTCCAACAGAAGAAAGTGCTGAAAGTCACAGAAAAGTTCACTGTCAAATTCTTAGAAAACCAAGTAACTTCATCAAGGAATTCAAACCTCTAGAAAAAGAAACCAAAACATAGAAGAGCTTTATTTTCAAGAAAGGATGACTCTTACAAAACAAAAATGAGCCAAAGCAGAATAAGAACATCCACACCCCTCTAATGGAAAAAGATGGGTCCTCCTTACTTCCTTACGTGTTGATGAGCCAAACAAGAACCAAACTGAACTATCCATAAAAAATTAAGAGCACCATTGTTAATCTACACTTTTTGATACTTTCTCATAGAATACCATCAACTGCCGAGGATGAAGACCACCACTAGCATAGTGGAAGCTTCAACCATGTGGTTCTGTGGACAAGATTTCTTGTGAGGATGGGATCATCATAGATTTGCTTTACATATATACATTGAAACTCAGGATAGTCCAAAGACATGGTCTTCGGCTCAGCATTACTACACATGGAATATATTTCTTGGCTTCACTAGATTTCTTGAGGAATAGTGAACGGTCATAAAACTCTCGAGTCTTAACAAGAAAGAGTCAAATTGAACAACGGAATCAATTAGTTTCATAAAATACTAATTCGAATAACTTCATTGGTATACATTGGTTAATGGTTATCCTTTCTTTGAAATGTTATAGGACAAATATCAATCTTAAAGAAACAAAGCAACAGAGGGAAATAAAGGACAATAGGTACCATTGATAGTTTGCAGCTAATCCATAAATTTCAATACTCCATGTGCCATTAGCTTTCGCCAGTTGTTCACTTGTTGCAACTTTCACAGACAAGATTGGCAAATTTATTTCAGATTCAAATCCAACTACAAATAAAAACTTCAAAAGTGAATACAAGATACAAAAGGAGAAGTAGATGCAGGACAAAGTAAGCTTCAGGTGCTTATTGTCAATTATAAATAATTTGAAGAAAGTAACCATGAGATAAAAGAAGAGTCTATAAAGAAGCATAAACACATATAGAAAGCTTTTCTAAGGTGATCAATTATGATTCAATTCTCAAGCATGCCTAAAACTGAATTTCAATATCTTCACAATTGTTTTTAGCAGGGTATTATCAGAGAAGTTCTAATCCTCATTAAGCAAGCTTCTTTCCAAATAAACAGGATTCCATATCTTAAACCAAATTCATACAGCTCTGTCTCCTATCATATATTTTGTCATTTTCATGTGGTTAGATTCAAAGTTTCCTATTATCTAACAATTGGTATAGGTTTTTGACATTTTACTATCAAATTCACCAAAATAATAAGTAACTTTATCCAGGAATTCAAACCTCTAGAGAAAGAAACCAAACAGACCAGAACTTCGGTTTCAAGGAAGGTGATTCTTACAGAACCATGATAAGCAAGAGTACAATAAATGGAAAATGATGGGTCCTCCTTTCTTCCTCTCAGAAGAAAATTAAGAGCAACATCACAACTAGGGTAGTGAATAGAATACAGCCCCATTGTTCATCTGCATTTTTAAAACTTCCTCATAGAATAATGCCAAGGAAGATGGAGACCGCAACTAGGACTACCAGCACATGGGAAGATAAGGTTGGATAGAGGAAGCTTCGAGTATGTGGTTTTGTGGACAAGATTTCATGTGAGGATTGGGATCTTCACAAATTTGCTTTACATGCATTGAAACTCAGGATAGTCCAAATCCATGGTATTTGGCTTAGCATTTCTGCACATGGAGAAAAATATAAGAATGAGATAGAATCATAACAACACAGGCAAACATGTTTGTTTTGAAATTCAAAATATTGCTTATGTGCATTAGTTGTTAGATAAAACAAAAATCATGTAAATTTTGCCACACAATCAGATGATGTGCATGAATTTCTATGTAGCTGTGAGGGCATAATTAACGACATTTATTGTGGTTGTAGAATTATGAACACTCAATGAATGAATGCATGATGAAAAAGTTAAGGCGCTACCTGATAAAATTCTTGAGCTTGTTGTTGAGACAAGTAAAAGGGTTACAGATTCATGAAACTTGGCATCATGATCATATTATTAGGATTTTCATTTCAAAGAAGAGCCTGCAAAAGTGGATCCTAAAAGGCTAAAACACATCCTTGGAAACTACTAATAATGTAAGAGTAGTATCATTACTGGAATCACAAGCAGAATCCAACCATGTTGCTTATAGGAAAAGCACCACGAGATGCCGAGGAAGATGATGATCACAACAAGGATTGGCAATACATGGGATGGCATATGATTCTGGGAAACTCAGGATAGTCCAAAGACTTGGTATCTCGCTAAGCATTCCTACACAAGTAACAACAATGAGCTTGTAAGTAAATGGAGATAGCATCATAATTAAACATGTACACTGAACTTAAATCAAGGGGCAAGAATTCTCTCCTCTTCCTTTTTCATCCTCTCCCCTTCTTTTCCTTTTTAACCATTAGATTAAAATTTGGATGGTTTATATTTAATCTCCTATAAAATTATTATTGGAATGTTAAAGTATAAAAAATATAAAATATTAAAATCCAAACTAAAATTTACTATGAACAATTAAAAAATACAATAAAAATAAAAAAGAATATTACATAGGAAATCAAATATAGACTATCATAACCTTGATCTAATGGTTAGAAATCAAGCAGATGATGGGAAGAAAAGTGGAGAGAATCCTCACCCTAAAATCAGATACTCCTTCCCATCGTCAATGAAAGAACTAGATAACTAATTCAAATAAATTGAGGAAATTAATTAAGTTGGATATTTGTAAAAATTGTATGTTGATTTTCTTGAAGTGCCCCTCCCTTTCAATCATTTACTTCCTTCGTTAAAAATATATGGCATTTATTCTTAGGTTAGATGTTAGAAGATATAGGGACCTTTGTAGATATAGTCCATGTTATATGACCAAACCAAGCAAATAGCTCAACATTTATCATATTTTGCATTATGGCTAATTTATTATATTTGTTAATAATATACAATTGTATGTCAATGATAAATCCCTCGTAAATTTTCAAAATTTTAATGATAAACTCCTTGTATATTAATGTAAACTGACGTTACTTCCAATTTTTAAAAAATTTGGTCCATGTTTCCTAGATATAAGATTATTTTCAGCTAGTGGACCAATTTATCCAAAAATATAAGGCATTTTTAATTTTCAATATATAATTAATCAGTTTTTCTTAAAAAAATCATAATAGATAACTCAATCAATCCTTCTACTATCTTAAAGTCAGCTAGAGAAATTTTAAAGTGAAGAATTTTTTTTCCCTAAAATTAATAATTGTTTGCATGAAATATAAAAAGTTTTCAAATATTATTATTATTATTATTATTATTTTGAAATGATTATTATTGTTAAAATACAATCTGAACACATGCAATTTAAAATCATCTAATTTCTTTTACCAAAAAAAAAATAATAATGATAAGATCATCTAATTTCAAAGTTTGGTTGAACAAGTTGCAGCGATTAGATGTCATCATTTATTAATGATTCGTACACGTTCACGGTTTTCTACAATAATTTTGCTGCTCATAAATACTTTTAACAATTGCACATCATTTTTAATTTTATTAAAGATAGAGAAAGAGAAAAAAAATAATTAAATACAAGAAACGCAATAATATTAAAGTACTAACCTTTAATTAAGAAAGAATATTAGTGACGAAACTCTATATATGCATCATGACTCCCGGGCGAATGAATGAAGGAACTGCCAACAAGAGATGAAAGAAAGGTAAAATATTAAAAATTAAAATTAAAATATTATTTTGAAATAAAACTGTCTGAGAAATAAACAATTTTTTTTTAGAGGCCAAAGAAGAAACAATATTTTCTTGGGAAGGGATTCGATAGTACAAGGCTTCTTATTTTATGCACATTATCCGAAACCTTGATCAATCCTGCCCTGCCTGAGCCATTTAGGCGTACTCCAATCCAAATGCCATTTTTTGTTCGTTTTTAAATTATATTAATTTTTGTTGAAAATTATCCTGAACTATAATATTTTTATAATCTTTTAGACATTTCTTGTCATTACAATTTTTTTAATCCCTTTCAAAATTTAAAATTTATTTTTAACTTAATGTCATGTAAAAATAATTGATAGTTATTGATTATATGCAATTTTTTAAAAATTATTTTTGATTCTAATATTAATTTTATAAAGAATATATTTTCAATGATAATAATTATATTTTTTTAAAGAACTCTTTTAATATATTTTTCAAAAAATAAGTTTCAACTTAATAAAGAACAAAAAAAAAAAAGTAAATAGACGAAACCAAACAACTAATTTAAAGCCCAAAAAAACAAAAAACTCTACAATTGTTAATCCAAGGATTAAAACTAGGAGACTGGGTGCTTATTGAGTTTCAAATTCCCATCTAAAAAAAAATAATTACAATGATAATTTTGCGGATTTGAGCAGACTACAAAATGGTGCCTTTATTTTGGTTTAAAAAAGAGAGTGAAAATGTCAAAACAATGAAATCAACTTATTAATGGAAGGTTAAAATAAAATAAAATACCTGTAGGAATGCAGTCCCATCTAATCTATACGCACGTCTGGAATGTGAGAAATTTTATGCCAGCCTGGTCCATCCACTTTTTGGTACCGCTGCTTTAGCAATGGACTATTTCCACTAATCCATATTGAAGAAAGGGAGTTGGGTAAACCTTCCTCTGGCAAGCACTCGAGATTTGGGCAATCCTCAATCCATAACCATCGAAGAGATGTGAGGCAGAGAAGGCCATTGTTGTTTATTTTTGTCAAATTTGAACATCCAACAAGATGAAGTTTCGTAAGATTGGGCGGCAAATGTTGCTCTTCTAAGAAAGACTCGGCATTTTCAAAATCATGATCACCCACTTGTAACTGTTTTAGAGAATGAAGCCCTTGCAAGCCCCAGCTCATACGACAAGCCATGAGTTTCGGACAACTTGTTATTCTAATATTGAAAAGGACAAGGCTCGAAGGAAAACCTCTCTGAGGAACCAATTGCAGCTGTGGACAGCTCCTTAGAGTTAATTCACGAAGACAGGGGAGCCGTGCATGCATGTCTTCATGAAGTGACTTCAGTTGGGTCATGCCAGCAAGGGTGATGCATATAAGTTTCGGATAAGAGGAATCTTTCATAGGGAATGATTCAAGTTCCAAGCCTTCACATCCTCCAATATCTAGCCATTCCAAACATGGAAGGCATAGAGGAAGGGATTTCCTTAATTTCGGACAGCTGAGTATGCGGATGTATTCAAGGCGAGGAAAACATTCACCTTCAAAATGCTTCCATTCTTCCAATTCCCCCATATTTTCAATTATCAAATATTCAAGGGATGGAAACGGAGCAATTGACAAATTCTCCCCGTAAAACTCTGACCCAAGCTCCTTTATTCCTTCTAAATGAGAAATGTGAAGCCACTCTAGAGAGGGCAGCTGCCCAAGTGGTGGTAAACAAAAGCAATATTTACATGCCCTCAACTCAAGAGATACTACATTAGGTAGATAAGGAGCATTCATCCAGTCCGCAAACCTTGTGCCACCATAGTTTTTAATAACAAGACGTTTCAAGTTTATATGAGGTTGAAGAGCCTCCAAAACAGACCTTTCATTTTGTGAATCCTCATTGTTTCCACTCCATCCCAAAGTCAATTCATTCAAGTAATTCTTCTCTTTCATATTGGCCCCCCCGGCATCCATTGGATCACTGATGTTATCCAACTTTAAAATCTCAAGACTGCCTTGAAGACAATTGAGTTCTCCTAACTCCCTAATATTGGACCCGCTTTGCTTTCCCACAACGAAGCTTGTCAATCCTTGAAGATGTTTCATCCTTCCCATGTTCATTGGCATCTCCCTTATACAAGTCCCAACCAAATCAAGATGTCGAAGATTGATGAGATTGGGCAAATCTGGTGGCAATTCAGCCAGAGACCCACACCCTTGCAATTTCAACGTTTGCAAACTGCGCACCTTACAAATTGAATCAGGTAACTCGCTGATCCCAGTCCTAGAAAGGTCTAGATAATGCAAATTGATCAATTTGTACAAATCCTGAGGTATCTCAACAATCTCACCGCAACTGTCCAATTTCAAAGTTTGCAAATTACACATGGTGCAGATTGAACCTGGTAACTTTTCAATCCCACTATTAGAAAGGTCTAGATAATGCAAATTGATCAATTTGTACAAATCCTGAGGTAACTCAACAATCTGACCGCAACTGTTCAATTTCAAAGTTTGCAAATTACACATGGTGCAGATTGAATCTGGTAACTTTTCAATCCCACTATCAGAGAGGTCTAGATAACGAAGGTGCTTTAAATTGCTTATACCATCACTTAATTTAGTGATAGTTGCAACAGAATTCAAGCCCAAAATTCGCAAGTGCCTAAATCTTGAAAACATTTTAGCCTCAACCTTACCACCAGTAGCACTGTACCGTTTTCGTAGTTGAGCAAAACAACGTAACTGCTTGCTCTCACAAATAGGTTCCAATGATATTTCATCATCCTTGTTGACGAAACTTGAGAATGAACAGTAGCGTATCCTTTCAATAATTTCATTTTGCACCTTATCAACCTCCATCCTCAAACAAAATCCTCCAGAGACTGATTTCGCTAAATCATTTACAAGGTCATGCATAATTAATTTGTCATCAGAAAATGTTGATTTCTCAACAAATGACCTTGATTCTAGTTCATCCACAATTCCATTCCCCAATTCCTCCACACTTTTATTTCCTTGGTTGCAATATATCAAATCCTCTGCCATCCACATTTGGATTAGAGACTCCTTGTCAATTTGAAAGTCTTTAGGAAATATAGAACAAAATGCAAAGCACCTCTTCAAATTAGAAGGAAGATAATGATAGCTTAGTCTTAGAGCTGGCATTATATCCTCATCACCATCTGCTAACTGCCATATCTCGCTGTCAAGAATTTCATTCCAATATTTCTCTGAAAACTTTGTATGCAAGAGGCCACCCAATGATTTTATGGCTAGAGGCAACCCTTTGCACTTCTCAACAATTTTTTTGCCAATTGACTGTAGATTTGAACACGAGTTAGCATCCTTGTTTTTGAACGCATATTCTGCAAATAACTTCCAGCCATCTTCTTCATTTAACAAAGTTATGTGATGCACTCTAATAGAGGCCATGACTGATGCTACCTTTTCACTACGTGTTGTAACAAGGATCTTACTTCCAGAAGCCCCAAAACAAAAAGGAACTCGTAACGAATCCCAATTGGAGTGGCGCTCATTCCAGACATCATCAAAAACTAGAAAAAATTTCTTCCCCGTCAATTTCTCTTTCAGTTTCAATTGGAGCTGATTTAGATCTTCATATCCTGTTATTGGACATTCAAGTGCAGAAAGTACTGTTTTTGTAATTCTAAGAACATCAAATTCTTCGGAAATACACACCCAAGCTTTGAGCTGAAATTGATCCTTGATCCTCCCATCATTGTACACCAGTTGAGCAAGAGTGGTTTTCCCCGACCCACCCATACCCACTACAGAAATCACAGATAGTGGGTCCCTGCTCAGATCTTCATCAAGTAAACGACGAATTATTTCTTCTTCATCACCATCTCTGCCATATATGCGGGACTCATCAGCCACCAGAGATGTAGTTGGCAATCTAGAGGATACTCTCGCACCAACTCCAACTTCGCTACCACCAACAGAGCTTTCCTTCAGTCCCAGAAAATCCTTTTGTTCTACAAGGGACTTCAGGTCGTCAAGCACTTCCTGGATTCTAGTTTCCATGTGTTTGTCAAATGGATTATCAGCGGCAGTCAAGCAGCCTCGTACCTTATTGAAATCAGTTTGATTCTCAGCTTCTATCTTCAACCTGGTCGCCTCAGTAGCAATCTCATCTAAGAGGTCATCAGCCACATAAACAGCATGTTTGAGCTCCTGAACCCATTTCTTGACATTGGAGTTTGTGTACTGCCTTGCTTCTGCATCATCGAGCACTTGATTCACAGAGATGAGGGTGTTGTTGAGGTTTCTGAGCAATCGACCCTCGAGCTTTCTAGATCGGAAGTACTTGTATATGGTAGAAGTAGGACCCAGCCTATCAAAAACAACTTGAAGAGCAGCAGAGAGAAATGCTCCACCCACAAGCTCAGCAGCCATGGTTGCTGGTATGCTTAACAGGGGAGATCAGCAGAAGAAATCAAGAAAGTTTTTTGGGAACGAGAGCGCAGAAGAGGAGTAGCGTGGAATAATGATAGAGCTAATTTTCTTTCCTCGATGGGAATAATATCAAAGCCGCGTAGATGGACAATAAAGTTGGAAGCTTCAATTTAATTGGTTTTGGTAGATTTTCTTGTCGGCCAATGCTTGGAGCGAAGGACAATAATGTAGATTGCTTTAATTGCTTTTACTTACCTTGCAAGTAGTCGGAGTATGGACACTTTGACCGTTTGGGCTGTTTCTTTCTAAAAATTTTTCCCTTTTTGAATTTGATAAATAACGTTAGCATCGCTGGACATTAGTTGCACATTCATTGATAAGTTAAGATAACCGTTACGATTTTTTCCCCTGATACAACCGTTATGATATTTTAAAACAGTGATTAAAAATAAACTTTTCATTTTGCAAACTAACATTTGTCTATAGATAGATCTCCTTAGAATATTTTTTTTATATTTTTATAACTAGTTACCTGCATTGTTTTTATAATTAATTATCCACATTGTCAATTATATACTCACTTTGTTAAAAAATGTGAAACATTTTTAATCAAATATAATTTTAATAAAATAATTACTTATTTTTGAATAACATCATATTTTTTATACTTACTCTTATTTAATTAAGATGTTTTACTTAAAAAAATATAAATAATTTATTTATTATGGGAACTTTTAAACAAAGTACATTAATTATATCTTGAATTGTTAAAAATATCTTATATTTTTTAATATTTAAATTTTTTAAAAAAATATTTTATATTTTTTAATAGGGCAAATACGTTTTGTAATTTCTTGTTTCAGACGCTACATTTTGATTGTTTAGTTAATATTCACCTTTATGTTTTTAACTTTAATCTTTCAGTTATAACAAATATCAACAATAATAACCCCTAACCAATTAAATGAAGTTAACGACAAGAATTATATTAAGTCACCACTCCTTGTTTTATAAATAAGTCATTTTTAACTATCTCCAAAATTAAAAAAAGAGTTAAATTATTAATATTATCAAAAAGACAATAATTTCTCATTTTACCCTTATTAAATATATCATGTTTAAAAATAAACTATCTTTCTTATATGGTATGTAACGTTTTACTTTACTAATAGAAAATAACAAAAAGATAAGATTAGAATAATGTTATAAATGATATATCTTTCATACAAAATGACTTATAAAAAAACCATCAATTTTTCTAAAAAATGATTTATATATAAGATGGGATAAATTCTATACGCTAAGGGAAACAAAAAGAAAATAAATAAAAAATAAAACTCATGGCTGAACTGGTGAGAAATAAAAAAAAAAATCAAACTCACAGTTGAACTAACATGATACATTCATAGTATAAAAATTTAAGTCAATCCACCCAATTGAACTAGTAAATTGTTAACTCATTATCTTAATCAATTTAATAAAATATTAAAATATTTTGTTTATAATTGATCTGACCACATCATTTGACTGTCATTTTAATCATTAATCCTTAAACTTGTGTCTTAACCAATTCAATAATCAATTTGATGTTCAATATCTTAACTATAACCAATATCAAATTGTGATCAAACGCATAGTAATTAAATATAAAAATTTTCTTTTGAAATAAAAGAGATCATAAATGAATAAATATTTCTTCTCCCTCCTTCAATTGCAGATTTTTTCATACCATTGGAATTAATGAAGACTATATTGACCTAATAATCGGTATTTACCAATTCAATTACTTTTTGAATTTTGCAATTGTTCCAGATTATATTGATGACCAATTCAATTGTTCATGGAATCACAAGCTGAGATAGCCAATTCAATCTTTTTTTTAACACACTGCTACTAATCAACAAATTTCGATTGATAATTTCCTTAGTCATTCTCAAGTATGTAGACCAACCCAAAAATTAATGCTAGAAAAGTAGGCCTTCTCATACACTACATATTATATGTAAACTTGTATTAATGCATGACATATAAACATTTTATATATCATACTATACTAATACATTGTAAACTTGTATATGAACTCTCCCAAAAAAAATCTAACATGCATATATTATCGTATCATACTATCTTCCATGGGCAAAGCCTACTTTATCAATGAATATTTCGAAGCATGCATGGCATGGATTAGAAATTGAGCACTGACTAGCGTTTTAAAGAGATAGAAATTACCCCAGTAATCTACAACATCATCATGAATGGAAAGTTGTGTGCTCATCATGTTAGGAAAAATTATATACCATGACTATGAAAGAAAATTATGAATATATATACATATATATCCCTAAAAGTTTACAACTAGTAGCATTTACAATGCACAAATAAACATCACAGCATCAAAATTTCCTCAAATACAACATACTTCATTAGTAAAAATAATTGGACACAAATGTATTAATGTATAATGAAGCAATTTATATATAAGGAAGCACTGAGTTACTTGAGATATCCAAAAGTGATATTGTTACCGATAGATGGGTTAGCTGATAACTACAAATTCAATCCCTATGGCTATTGATCCTCTATTTTCTTCTTTTAGTCTCTCTTTTTTTTAGGCATTTCATCTGATTCTTCTTGTTTTGCTTGCATTTTCCTCTTTTTCTTCTTTTCTCCCGCATCAGCATCGTCTCCATTCAACTCACTATTCTCACTAGACTCCTTCCTTTTCTTCTTCTCCTTTATGTTAGCTCCATTTTCATACTCCTGAACAGCATCTTCATCCTCTCCATTCTTCTTCTCCTTCCCTTTCTCTTCTCTTTCTTCTCACTAACAGAAGCCTCCTGGGTTCCATCTTCATTTTTCATTGGTTCCTGTTCAGTGTTCAAATCTGCTCAACCAAGAAAAGACTTGATGGCAAGATTATATGTCTGCAAAACACAGTAGAGTCAGCATTTATGAAAAAAGAGCAAAACATTACAGAGGCATCAAACAAATAAACAAGGGTGATTCAGAATCAGACCTTAGCCAGTGTCAGTAGTGCTCTAGCTCTCTTCTTCCTATCCTTATCATATGCTTTTATCTTGGGCTTTCCTTTAGCTGAGCCAGCAAATCAACCTAATTCCTTGCCTTTAAGATTCCTCAACTGTGCTTCAAACTTTTAGAATAGGCATGTCAAACTAAGAAGCATCGATATGGATACCTGTATTAGATACCACACAGCATAATTCGATGGATACGGTAAATTTCAAAAATTTTAGGATTCAAGTACAGCAATATTTATAATATATATTTCATCATTTTATGATATGGGAATAGGTATTTTAATTTTTAATCAAGAATTTCTAAAGTAATATAAGGATGTTTGAAACAATCAACCAAAATAGTAAGCTTTTTTTAAGTTTTTAAGTTGTAGAACAAATTTATTATAAAATAGAAATAATACAAATGTTAGAATATGTAATGCATATGCTAAAGTATCCTACCCCACAAGTATCTTATTGGATAGGTATCAAAAAGTCTCGAGTAAATATGAACAAAGGGAAACTACCGATGCAACATTGAGAAAGTACCTTGCCTCTGTTCTCCAAGCCCATGGAGTTATCCTCACATCTTCCAAAGCATCACACCATATGGCCAATGCAGCCTTCACAGCAAGTGACCGAGAAATTTTACCCTCGAACTTGGGACCTGCCTGACTAATTAGTGATGGATGGTAAATAAGACCATATTTAGGAATAGAGTGCTCAGTCTTCAAGGCCCTGAAGAGAGCCTTTTAAGCATTGATAATCTGCACTGTGCTCCCAAGCTGTTTTGCAAGATTTAATAATCTGCCCCAATGGGCAATGAGACAAGCACCAACTAGCTCCCTAACAAGAATAGTCAAATTGGGTGCGATGGTGTCCATCTTGCTTTTTAGGTAATCATATAGCTGGGCTCTGTACTCAGAAAGAGATAACACCTGATCACACAATTCTTTGATATTCATCAAACAAGCTTACCAACTTCAGTTCCTATGGATATAACAGCTGCCTACTTTAGTTCTATCTTAACATCCTCTGACAAGATCTATGGCACATAAAGTCAAAAAACTTACAAATCCATGAAAACAGCAAAGCCTAGCTTCCTATTTTGTATTACTATATATAAAGAGGGTTTTGATGTTAATTAAATTTACAATAAAGGGTTTCCATGTAATGTAATCCTAGGAATAACTGTGCATCCTTGAGTTCAAACATGCATGATAGTGGAACTAACCTTAAGATGTTAAAACCAAAAAGCAAAATTACAAAAGGTACTTTCAGTATAGCTCACAAACCATACCTCAGAGAAATCAAGTTTTGCAGCATTGGCCCGATCTCCCATCAATTTGACAGCCTTTACATACTGGATGTTATCTTGTATTATTTTAGTAAGCTCAGGGAAATGCCAATCGTACCATTCTCAAACTCTCAAGGCATATGTATTTAGCTCTTTATCCAAGTCATCAAGCAGACTAATGGCCTGGACAATCATGGTATCTGCCTGTAACAAAATAGGTGACATTCAGACAACAGAAACCTCCAACTATGTTTCCCAAGGGATATTAAAAAGAAACTATGTTTATTGAATGTTCTAGAAGTACGTTATTCTTCTTTCAATAATTCAAATGTCATATCTTTATTGTTAGCATGTTGTTCTTTTTTTTTTTTAGGCCAGCCACCTAGGTTTTGTTTATAGTTTTTGAGTAGGGATAAATCTAGGGCGAACTACCATCATTTGACTACTTGATTTATGTTTATTGACTTATTGTAATATGTTTCAACTCCTTGTTCAAAAAAAAAACCAAAAGGGAATTCATGTGGTGAAAAATTTTAAGCATTTTTTTAACATTTATAATTTAAGATCCAACAGTTGATAACACCACAACCCACTGAACATAGGGCAAGCAGCATGCTTACAAAATGATTATATAGCAAAATGGGTGTCAATAGCAACTTCAGCAGGAAAAAAATGGCAAATACAACATGCTACCAAATAAACATCCACTCCTAATGGCAATTGTCAAAAGTTTAAAGAAACCACACCTTATCTGTACTGAACTTTAACTTATATCTTGATAGACTATAAGATAACCCCTAGCTCATTAGAGCCATAT